ATTTAGGCTATGTCTACAGTACAGAGTTTTTTTGGAAAAATTGATGTTTTTCTGAAAAAACTTCACTTACGTCCACACTACAATTGTGTTCTTTCAAAAAAAAAAATCAAAAGAACAGAGCAGTTTTTTCCGACATTGGTAAACCTCCTTCTACAAGGAAGAAGACTTTTTCCATAAGAGCTCTTTCAGAAAAAAGCGTGTGTGGATGGGAAAAAGGAAGTTCTTTTGAAACAAGAGAAAAGAGGAAAAAGCACAGGTACCCTGGTGGCCACTCCATCCCTAGTAATCACAGCTTAAATGCAAGATAGCGTCCATACTGAATGGATGCTATCTTTCAAAAAAGCAGATTACTTTTTCGAAGTGCTTGGATAGTGTGGACGCTCTCTTTTGGAAGAAGTGTTTTCAGAAGATCTCTTCTGGAAAAGTTTCTTCCAGAAGAAGCCTGCAGTCTAGACGTAGCCTAATAGTCAAAGGGTGGCTGCAATTTTATTGGTAGGGCTTATTCCTGTTACCAGAAAGTGTACAGTCTGCAGTGTGTGAGACTGCGGCAGTTCAGCTAGAGGAATCCAAAGAACGGTGAGGCAAAAACAAGCAGAAATTTCAAAAGAAACATTTAAAAATATTTCCTCCTCAAAAGCCAGTAAAATATTTTTCTTAAAAAAAAAAGGGAGAGATTAATCATTCCACTGTCCCCCAGAAAGCTTTTCTGAGTCTGGAGACTGAATTCAAGGCTTAACATGTGGAACACCTAGGCTACGTCTAGACTGGCATGATTTTCCGGAAATGCTTTTAATGGAAAAGTTTTCCGTTAAAAGCATTTTCGGAAAAGCGCGTCTAGATTGGCAGGATGCTTTTCCGCATAAGCACTTTTTGCAGAAAAGCTTCCGTGGCCAATCTAATGCTCTTTTCCGCAAAACAGCCCCGATCGCCATTTTCGCAATCGGGGCTTTTTTGCGGAAAACAAATGTCTGCTGTCTACACTGGCCCTGTTGTGCAAAAGTTTTTCGGAAAAATACTTTTGCCCGAACTGGAGCAGCATAGTATTTCCGCAAAAACAATGACAATCTTACATGAGATCGTCAGTGCTTTTGCGGAAATTCAAGCGGCCAGTGTAGACAGCTAGCAAGTTTTTCCGGAAAAGCAGCTGCTTTTCCAGAAAAAGTGGCCAGTCTAGACACAGCCCTAGGTTTTTTGGACCCGTTGTAACCTTAACTATGGAGTACAGGCAGTCCCCGAGTTACGCGGATCCGACTTATGTCGGATCCGCAGTTACGAACGGGGCCCTCTCCCTGGTCTCCAGCAGACCAGGGA